CTCACACACTAACTACAATGACTGAACATGCAGCCATCTAGTATACCAACTACGGAAATCAACCATATTCACATTTACTCATTTAGACTACTTGGCCAAGAAACCAATAAATACACCGACGTATCAGCAAACCCTCAGCTCATCTGCCTATCAAAGAAGCATTATAGACTAAATAGGCTACTAACCCGCATGGCGTATGTAATGGCTAGTCCAACCAGACCAGGAGACAGAGAATCTCTGGCCTGGACTGCAAACACACAGGCAGCCAACAGGATTAAAAAACCCAGAACCTCCAAGCGACACTGGATCCATCTGCAATAAAAAAATAAAACACAAGAAAAACTTGATCTTACACGTAGATCTGCCTGTTCGTTCTGTTTCTGTGAAATATTTTGCTCAGAACCATCTCCAGTTTAATCTAACCAAGACGTTTTAAAGGAGAGAACATTTAAATAAACATAGTTTATCTTTCTCGGCCCCCTCAAATTTTAGTATTAACCGTACGATGCACGAGGCTCTATCTTTATATTGTAAGTCCCATATATTCAATTCTGGTTTGATTAAGGTGGTTAAAACATCTTAATAGTACCTGGAGCCATATTATATAAAAATGGGGTAAGAAAAGGGTGGGGGGGGAGCGAGAGAGAGAGAGAGAGAGAAAGAAAGAAAAAGAGGAGAGGGAGAGAAAGAAAGAGAAAGACAGAAAGAAAGAGAAAGAAAGAAAGAGAGAGAGAGAGAAAAAAAGAGAGAGAGAGAGAGAGAGAGAGAGAGAGAGAGAGAGAGAGAGAGAGAGAGAGAGAGAGAGAGAGAGAGAGAGAGAGACGATTCTTCGTATGACAAAAGCGCGTACTTGTTCACAGCGTTAAACGCAGACACGGCTTTCTGAAAGCCGTCAATTTTGGCCTCGGAGTCGGCGATGAACCGGTCTTGTGCCTGGTATGCCCTGATGACGCTCACGCCAGACAGGGTCTCGCTGAAATGGGCGTACACCGGGGACCGGTTGTTGGACTCGATACGCCGGAGCTGGCACGACGTGCGGATGTAGAATTGCTGAGGACGACAGATATTGAGATGTTTTTTTAGGAGATTGCTCTTTGCTCGTATATTCTTTTCCTTCCTATATTTCCTTCTACGCCTGTCTTCTTCCCTCTCCCGAGCTCTCCCTCTTTCTCTCTCAACTCTCTCCTTTCCTTTTTTTCACAACTCTGTCTGTCTGTCTGTCTGTCTGTCTGTCTGTCTGTCTGTCTGTCTGTCTGTCTGTCCCTAGACATCTGCTCTTTTCTCTACTTCTGAACTCTTTCTTTGGCTGTTCATCGATATCGATGATGACTGTGATTGTTATTTAAGCCAAACACGAACGTTTCAGGCCATAAGGACTGCTTTGAATCTTACACATTTGAGATATATGTATTGCAAGTCTGATTGCTTCTTGTACTACTGCATCAGTGAACTTATTTTTGTTCTAGTATATTTCACTGTATTTGCAACACTGTTCGTTCATTTAAGTAACGAAGATTGCAGATATATGTAGTTACAAGAGAGTAACAAACACAAAAAAGAAGTAAGAGTGATAAGGACGATAGATCATTTGATAGGAAAGATGGAGATAACCACACGAGAAGACCCGCCAACCATCCACACCAGTGAACACTCTTAACAACATTACTAAAGAATAGCTGGTGTAGACTTAAAATAAATAACGTCATTGCTGGCATACCCTTGTTCCGTATTTTCTACCGTTTGCCCATTCTCCGCTAAATATCTCACTTTATAGCTCTTCATATGAACGACTTGAACGAGAAGAAGAACAACAAATGAACCAGGATATCCCTCCCCTTGCCCCCCCCCCCCCCCCTTCTCCCCGAGCATTCACTCACCTGTAACAAATACAACAGGATCGCTTTGGGCACAATGAAAGCCAGCAGCATGGGCAGAATGTGATAACGATAATGATAATTATAATATTAACAATAACAATTATAATATAACAATAATCATACAATAATATTAATAATAATAATAATAATAATAATAATAATAATAATAATAATAATAATAAGAAGAAGAAGAAGAAGAAGAAGAAGAAAAAGAAGAAAAAGAAGAAGAAAAAAAAGAAGAAGAAAAAGAAGAAGAAAAAAGGAGAAGAAAAAAAGAAGAAGGAGAAGAAGAAGAAGAAAAAGAAGAAGAAGAAGAAGAAGAAGAAGAAGAAGAAGAAGAAGAAGAAGAAGAAGAAGAAGAAGAAGAAGAAGAAGAAGAAGAAGAAGAAGAAGAAGAAGAAGAAGAAGACGAACAAGAGCAAGAAGAACAAGACGAACAAGTGAACCAGAAGATCCTTCTCCTCGCACCCCCCTCCCCGAGCCTTTACTCACCTGTAACAAATACAACAGGATGGATATTGGCACAATGAAAGCAAGCATGATGGGTATGGTGTAGCTTATGATGACGAAGATGCCCAAACACTGCATGGCAAAGTCCAGAACAATCTCAATCTCCACACAGATGTCGTTGTCCAGCCTCTCCACGTCCTGACTGAAATGATGATGATGATGATGATGATGATGATGATGATGATGATGATGATGATGATGATGATGATGATGATGATGATGATGATGGAGGGGGTGTGGTGATGATGATGATGATGATGATGATGATGATGATGATGATGATGATGATGATGATGATGATGGAGGTGGTGTGGTGGTGATGATGACAATGATGATGATGAGGATGATGATGATGATGAAGATGATGATGATGATAATGATGATGATGATGATGATGATGATGATGATGATGATGATGATGATGATGATGATGATGATGATGATGATGAGGATGATTATGATGGTGATGATGATCCCCTATAATAGAAGCATAAGTCATCTGATGAATCCACCCCCCCCC